CGAGCGAATCGGGGCCGAATTTGAACTTACATCTTTTCACCACATTTCAAAATAGTTTATTAATATATCATGTTGCATACTTAAAATTTTAATCAAGATTCACAATAATATGAATACAATTTAAACATAGATACTAAAACTTATACATACAGGCGGCTTTGCCATCTAGTTTTAGCTAACTAATAATTGGAAAATTAAGCGAAGCAGTATTAAAATTTTTCACTTTAATGAAATAGAGCCAGTGTTTTAAATTTTATTATCGCTATATTTATTTAAACGAAAAAAATATATACGTATAAAAAATCTTAATTAGTGGTTAAACATATATGAGTGCCGCCAAGAGAAAACCTGACTTCGGACTTTCAATTATATTTTGTGTACAGTTAGTCGTCTATGAAAAATCTATCATTATGATGGATTTTTCATAGACGGCTAACTGTACACGAAATATAATTGAAAGTCCGAAGTCAGGTTTCCCTTATCGGCACCCATATAATCTGCACAATGTTTGTAATTAAAGCCTCTAACTGTCCCACAAAATTGTTTCCTCCCCTTGTAATAACGACTAATCGAATTTCAGGATCAGGCGTAACGTGAAAATCGAGACGAAGCAAAAAAAACAAGAATAGCTCTAAATTTTAATTAGGAAACCGCCTTCTGTGGTCTAATGAAAAATGTCCCTTGTAAATTTTACTTGTAGACGTCACATTATCCTAGTCCTAACCCTAACTATAACGCGGTTTTCTTAACTTTAATTTTGCACGTAACTTTTTACTTCACCATTTAGTATAAGATTTGAAATGTTCAAAAAAAATCAATAAATTTACCAAAATTGGATATTATCAAAATGGATGGTGAATTACTACATAATGAATTATGTACATGTGAATAATTTTCCGAGAAAATATAGATTTTATTTACAAAATAAGAAAATAAATTTTAATTCGTTACAACGGTTCTTAATAAAACCCGTCCGTACGAAACACTAAACTTAACCTAACCCTAAAGTTAATTCAATAAAACATTATACGCATATATGCATTGCCCCGCTTTAGATATCCCCAATATTTGGAATGTCCTATGCCAGTGCAAAAGTGTTAAAAAAATTAACCTTGAATTTCAATGGGCTCTATCTTTTGACTTAAGATTTGAAGCTTGCTTTTTATTTCTTTTGCCTTTATAAGTTTGCTACTATATATATTCTGTGTTTTAATTATTTCATCGGTTTCCGACGATTGCTTTTTAATTATTTCGTCAGCTTCCGAAAAGTGTTTTTTAATTTCATTTACATCGTCAACTTCCAAAAATTGCTTTTTAATTTTATCTACATCATCTTCCAATAATTGCTTTTTAATTTTATCTACATCATCATCTTCCAATAATTGCTTTTTAATTCTATTTATATCATCAAATCCTGAATCGGGCCCTATATTAACTTCCAAAACTTCAATCCACCTAATAAGCTTCAAACAGATATTAGACGCCTTAGGTCGTTCTTGCGGATCACGATTCATGCACTGTTTAGCCAATTTGATATAACATTCAGGTGTTCTATTAGCGAATTCGGGTCTTTTTAATCCACGAATAATTTGCACTGCTAGTTTTGTATCAGACTGGTAACCGGTGAAAGGTCTTTGTCCAGTTGACATCTCTGACATGATGACGCCAAAGCTATAAATGTCTGATTCTTTTGTTTTAGGTTCACCTAATAATACTTCTGGTGCACAATATTCTTGTACTCCAGTTGGATCTTCTGACTCTGACTCTTTATTAGATATCGACGACCCTAAGTCTGCAATTTTAGAATTCATATTATTAATAAAGGGTAAGCATAAAACATTGCCACTATGTAAGTCACCATGAATAATTTCTTTTTTATGAATATTATATAAGTCCCAAATAATTTTGGAAAGAATTAAAAGTTTATTGCCCCAATTTAAATGGCGATTGTTTTTTATATAGTTATGAAGACATTACTATGATATAATTTTGTGTCTTAGGATCATGTGAAACACCAAAAACATTTACAACGCTCGAAGAATAAAAATTGCTGTACTTCTTAAATTTTATATAATTTTTAAGCTCTTTTAAAAACTTATTATTTTGTGAATCTTTCATTATTTTTAATGCCACAGGACTTTTTTTGTAATATCTTCTTTTATTGTCAACAATAAGCTTGAAGCCGTTTAACCAGTAACCCCTATATACATATGCAAAACCACCTTCTCCTAATTGTTCATTGTCATCAAATTCAAGCTGGTCGTGAGGGATCCATTCAAGATAATGGCGACTATTAAATCCTTTTGCTCTACGCTGATTTTCCCTAATTATTCTATCTAATTCTTCATTACCCTACTAGTCCAACTTTGAGATAACAATTCAGGGTCACATGTTTGACACCATTGATAACTAGTATTAAACATTTTACAAACTGAACAAACTCCGTATTCTTTTTTCCTTTCTTCAACGTCATAATTTATTGTATAATGATAAAAATAACCATTATTTGCTCTAAATATATCCGCACACCATTCTCCTCCCCAAGCTGCGTCCCAATTCCATGATGATGAATAAAAAAGATATTCAGTTCCCTTATTAAACTTTTTATTGGATCCCTTATTAAGCTTTTTATCCGACATGTCCTATGTGTGCACTGAACGTTTTTTGTATACACTGGCGATCATAAGTAATGCAACAAAAAAAAATTTTTGGTTTGATCGTATTATCTCACGCAATTTTGGGAGTA